TTATAAGCAGTGGGAACAATGACATAGATGAGTTAATTCACATGACAAGATTTAGTAGTCAGAAACAGATTGCTGATTTGATGGAAAATATTGCGAAAGATTCTAATCCATTAAATGTATATAGATATCTAATAAAAACCCCTATCATTTTACATTCTATAATTAAATGGATCCCATTTTCTCAAATTACAAATTTACAACAAATAGCAGAAGGTGGATTTGGCATGGTTTATAAAGCAAAATATCTAGGTGTAATGCCTAAAGTTAAAGATAATAGTGGTTCATATTTCGAATATATAAATGAAACCGTTGCCATAAAAAGGTTTAAAAATTCAAAAGAAATTAGCAAATATTTTTTAAATGAGGTAATTTTCAATATTTTCATAATTAAATGCAATACTTAAATATTTCGAATAACGAATAATCTAAATCTTTATTGTAGCTAAGTTCACTTATTCGATGCTGTTCCGGTAGTAATATTAATCGTATCATAAGATGTTATGGTATTACAAAAGATCCTGAAACTAATGATTATATGTTGGTTATGGATTTTGCATCAGGTGGAGATTTACATAATCGTTTACAAAGTAATTTTAAAGAGTTATCATGGAATAAGAAAAAATTAAGAATTTTATGGAACATATTAAATGGGTATGTTTTTATATATAATTAATTTCAAAAAAATAAAAATAATTATTAATTATATTATAACGGTAGACTCGAAACTATTCACAATAAAGAACTCATACATCGAGACGTTCATAGCGGAAATATATTATTTGTTGAACAAAATGATTACAGATATCAATGGCAAATTGGAGATCTAGGATTATCACAACCTGCAAATAATACTTCATTAAATAATGAAATATATTGGGTAATCCCTTATATTGCACCAGAAATATTTAATGGCGCTCCATTTTCAAAAAAATCTGATATTTATAGTGTAGGCATGATCATGTGGGAACTTACAACAGGTTGTAAGCCTTTTTCTAATGTTGAACATGATCACGTACTTATTTATGAAATTATTGATGGAAAACGTCCCGAGATTACAAATGATACTCCTGAATATTATGCTGATTTAATGAAAAGATGTTGGGATTCTAATCCTTCAAAAAGGCCTTCTATAACAAAAATACGTAAAACTGTTGGTAGTTGGCTTTACACAAAAAAAAATGATGAAATATTTAATCAAGCTGAAACAAAACGAGAGGAATTAATGAAATTAAAGAAAATTGGTCCTGGATTTATTGAAAACATCCAAATGCAATTTATACAAGTAGAGCATTAAGTTCTTTAATTTCTAGGTCCTTAAATTTGTCTGCGAATTCCTTTAATGGTGCATCAGGTACTTATAATAATTAATATGAATTGACTTAAATAATTGTGATTGATAATACCATAATAATTGTTTTAGATAATAAATTTGAGACTTTGATTCAAGAATCAAGAAAGGAATGTATAAAGCTAGCTTTTATATTTGGCATTTAAAATTTTTATTCCTTTGCTTTAATTCAAGAATATTTTATTCGAGTATTCGTATTAATAGGAAATTTAAAGTAACATTATAATTAGATTTTAATGAATTATATATTAATTTTTATTTATTAACTTCAGAATATATTTCAAAAGAATATGAGTTTGATATGGATACTCGGAGGTATTTATAATTGCAAAGAAATTTTTCTTTTAAAATAAATTGCCCATTAAATATTAAAATATTATTTTTATTTTAATAATTTTAGGTTACTTACAATAAATGCTCAACCTTTAAATGCAATAACAACACCAAATTCTTCAAAAAAGCGAAAGAATAAAGAAATAGAAGCTAAAACCCAAAATTATCGTAAGTAATAAATTTTTATATTAATATAATTAAATATTGTTTAAACTAACACCACTTTCCAAAATATTTAGAAAAGCAAATTAAAACTTCTAGAGAATCCAAGCATTCTTTAAATTTTGTATTGAATTGATAATTCAATCTTATGATTTATTCAAAGCATTATACTTTTTACTATATAATTATATTTATTACATAAAGTTTATTATTATTTTTATTTTTGTATTTAGAATACTGTAATAAATTTATATTGTAACAATAAATAAATTTGATTGCAATTGTATTGAAGTATAATTTATTATTCGATAGGATTCATATTTGATAATTTATGGACGCTTAATTATATTGTTTATTTTTTATTATTACAACATTACTTATTTCATCAAATAAGATGATACTTATTTCTTGAAAATTATTATTCATCGTATACATGAAGATAATAAATTTCAGACGAAATTTTTATTTCAAAGATTTAATTAAAATTAGTAATTTACCCAACCCATATACTATTAATAAATAGATGTTCCTTATATATTGAAGTAATTGAGACGATAATTAATCATATGCTAACAATCTTAAAAGGAATTAAAGAATTGAGGTTTAGGGAAATAAGCGTGAGTAATCATTGTAAAGTAAATTAAATACTTCTTAATATTGGCTATTTGTTAGACTATTATGACTATTATTCAAGCTTTATAGTCTTATAATTAGGGGTAGTAATTCCTTGTCTAATGTTTACACATTGTTTTAATTTATTGGACTTCCAATTCCCAATTCAATAACATATTCATTGGATATAAATTTTCTCTAAACGATTTCTTAAAAATATACTAGTCTAAATTAAGTTAAGTATATAAACAAATTCAAATTATTGTTATATATTCAATTTAATTATCTTATTTAAATATAGAATTTACATAAAATATGCTACGATTGGCGCAGCTACTGCGGTGCATATCAAATTTGTTTTACATATTTTATTTATTATTTATCTGTTTTATTTATTATATTTGTTTTATGTATTATATTTTGTTATCTTAATTTAATTTATTAAATTATTATATTTGCTAGTAAATTGAAACAACGATTGATTTTGTATAAATAGTTTGGGAATTCGATCTAGTTTATCAATAAAATCTGACTATTGGACAATTAACTTATTATTTGTGTAGTATTTTAAGTTTAAATTATCTTACCATTTAAGGTTAAATTTCTCTTCAATCATTTTTGTATGATTAAAATTCAAAATGCGTACCATGTTTTACGAGTTATATTCGGAATTCAATTCTTCAAATACCTAAAACATCTTTTTTTGAATTTAAATTCTGCTAGAAATCGCGCCCTATTACTCTATGCCTGTGGATCTTGATTCCATTAATTTAATAACCAATAATTAAAAACTTTCTGGTTATGATATTTACATTTAATGGGACCGGTTCTTGCTGCCCAGCTCGTACCGGTCCATAATAGCTTATTTACAACTATAAAATTAGGTTACGGCATTACCCATAAGTTTTAACGTACCAATGAAAATGTAATAGACAAAACTATAATAAATCTATAATCGAAGTTGTTTCGACCGTTACTATACCAACTATATTATTTGATAAAATGGCTTTGTCCACATCATAAACTAAACTTTGAGATAAATTATAGACAATTCAAGTTGTCCTAGGGCTGACTTATGGATTGTCAGTTCCAAAGATAGACCGGGGAATTTTTTAAAACGTTATATTATTCACTTTCGACAGAAGGGTTATTACAGTGGTGATCTTAATCATAAACGAACTAATTTGATGATAAATGCATTTGTTCCTAAAAAGGTATGGATTATTAACTGAATTGAAAATTAGACGCCAAGTTATAGATTAGAAATGTCGTGGTTATTATTTGAATCATTGAAAAGCAATCTTGCAATTGTGGTATTTGCGTGTTTGGTTAGTAAAACCGAAGATAATAAACCCTATCATTTTAAATGCTGATGTGTACAATTTAATAATCTCACTCCTGAATGCGGAGTAACGTTTCAAAATGAAGTCTTTTCCAAATATTTGAATTTCGAACCTATGATAGTTTATCCCTAAGCAAAATATGCCAAGTAAAAAAGGCAATAAAAGACTTTCGATTCGAACATACACATTTATGACTATAAAGATTTTGTAGAGGATTCAGGACTTTCTTTTTAAGAAAATTTTTGTAACATCAAATTGCGCTAAATAAAAAAGATTTGGTACTTTGTTCGCTATAAATAATGCTAATATCAGGCTTCACGACGAAAACGATAATATTAATTGCATTCCAAAAAATTAAGATCAACTCAATTGTTTACCTCGAACTGGAAAAATATCAAGTAATATTTATGCTTCAAACTGGAAAGAAAATATTCCTTAAACATTACCGAAGAAAACCATCTAATCAGTATATGATAATAAAATTTAAAAATTTTGAGATAAGGAATAATATGAATAAAAAATTTTCTGAAAATAATTACAACTTTTACTAGAAAATAAATAGAACTATATATATTTATTAAAAATATCGACCAATTGCCTAAAAAAAAAAAAAATGAATAGTATAAGGACAAAATTTTAAACAAGCAAAATTATCAAAAGAAATCGTTCATGCTAAAAACATGGAACAGTTTTCTAAATGGAAGGATGATCATGAACTTCATCCAAGAATCACGAATTAAAGAGATAAAACTTCTTTCAAGAATTACAAAGAAACTCGACTTCTTGATGGGATTGAGTTTCTTCCAAGAATCACGATCAATTGACAGATCGATTGATTTTTTCAAAGGATCTCAGCCACTTGAAGGGATTGAACTTTCAAGGATAGTGACCGTATGGTGGGATCGAGTGATTTTTTCCAAGTTTTACAACCACTTGCAATGAGGATTATGACCAATTGATAGGGTCGATTGATGTTGACCACTTTATGGGAATGACCTATTTCTTCCAAGATTCACAAAATCTTGACGAGAATGACTTCAACCAAGGATAACGACTGCTTGATGGTATTGATTTGATTGATTTCTTCCAAGGATCACAATCACTAGACGAGAACGAACGTCAACCAAGGATAATGACCACTTTATGTGATCGACTTCCAAAAATTTAATTTCGGCCTTAATAATAGTGGCCTCTTGCCATGGTTCAAGAAAGTTTCAAATCCTAGAACAGCCTGTTAAAGCGACGCTTTCAGTCTTAATATGTAATCATTTATCATAGAATCATAAAAACATAGCATGGTTACAATAGTTTGGGAAAACTTTAAACATAGAACATATAAAAATGCTATAATCTCAGAAAACTCACTGCAATAATTTCAGAAAGTAACCTGTCTTAACGAATGAAATTTTGGCGCAATAGCATCATAAATCTTTGTTACGTTTATCAAAATCATATGACAACGTAATTTTAAAATCGTTAATTCCAAATTGATTCAACATCCATATATTGAAAACTTTGAAAATTCACAGTAAGTAGATGGGTGATTTGATTGCTATTAAAATCAAGTTGCAAACATAGTCATATGATCTGTAACATAATTATAATAGCAAACCTCCCATTTAATATATCAAATGTATAATTTTGCAGCACCTCATGTATATAACTCTTACGTCATTAATACGCCTTACACAAATATTTGAAATTTGAAAAATATCCTCCTTAAAATACCAATATTCAAACCATTCGTTTGATGAAAATCACGCATGTTACAATTTACATTGGAAACTAACCGTAACGATCATGCGTCATTTAATTACTTTCTTCTATTTTCTATAATATTATGTCAAAGCTATCGAATTAGATTTGTTTTTACAATTTGTACATAAGATATAAATAAGGAGAGCAGAGAAAGGTATATAGCAAACACGTGTATGGGATGATTTTTTATGTATGGAACGTATGGTTTTACTACCAAGTAATTATTTCCAGAAAAACCATACATGTAATATAGTATTGGCTAATTTATATGAAAAAATTTTTTTATCGTTAATATTTTTATAAAAAAAAAATTATTACTTAAAGGTTGCATTTTAAGGTTAATTAACCTGTGGATATGACTTTCCGTCAAAAATTAAACTAAACAATCAATCAAAAGAAGAAATATAAAATATATTTTATTTTATAAGGTTTCTGTGGACAACGATTATCACACAATTTTTTTTGATTTGTTAAAATTCTATAAATGTTATAAATACAGTAAATGAATATCAATTAATAAAAAAAAATTTTTATTTAATAAAATTAATTGTGAGTTTGCTTAAAATTAAATAATAAACAAGAAAGGGTGATGTGTTCATTTAAAGAATGTATAAAACATTCAGATGTTGAAAAATTCGTTACAAGGCAAACTCATACAAATTCATATGAAAGTTATTTAAAAAATCAAGAGAGTTCAAAGATGAATTAAGAGGATTTATATTTACGTGACGTGATGTAATTAAAAAAATTAATTTAGAAAATAAAGAGAAAAAATAATATTTAGTAAATAAAAAAGAATGTGTGAAATTAACTAAACGGGTTGTGGTAGGCATTAGAACGTAAACATTTAAATGAAGATATTATTAAATTAGATTAAATATATTATCATAATTGAATTTTTCAATGAATTTGTATATATATTGTTCGTGTCCTTTTTCAACGAGCTATTAGATAAAAAAAGAGATAAGCAAATAGTTAGTTTCTAAATCTAAGTGAGTCGTAGTTGCATAGTTGTGGCATCTAGTCTAGTCTCGTAAGGCTGTTTGTCTCCCAAATTATATACCCCTCTAATCTTTTACAATAGCACATTCCGGGCGACGATATTTGGTAAAAATACAGATTCAGGAGTAAACCCGAGACCGACAATTATGGATGACTCATGAGTAGAGCGTCTAGTCTAGCATTTCACCTTTTTAAATCTTCATTCTTTTCATATAGTTTATCAATTACTTTGTTTAGTTTTCATTGTTCGATAAACCAGTTGTTTTTAGTTGAAATTTTGCTTTTTTTTTGATGTAACATCCGAACCATTTAATCTAATAAATAATTGATTAAATTAAATCTTCTCTTCAAAGGATTATTAAAATAAAAAAATAAAAATATTGGGAAACTTACTTTTTTGATAATTTAGATAAATTAAAATGGGCGTTTTTATACTTTTGAAAATCGTAAAAAAAATAAAAAATCACGTTAAAATAACGCGTTAAAGTTAAGTATTAAAAGTCCTTATATGGTAATTTGATAATTTCATATAAAGCACACGCAATATTTCCTTTTTGATTAGATGAACTTTAATTGCAAATCTCTTTTCAATTTTGTACATTGAATCATGAATCATAATTGGTTATTCAATTGGAATTGAACAAGTCTCGTGTATTGTTTGGTTTCACTAAAATTTTCGATATAGATGATGATACGTACGACGCGTAATATTTTTTTTAAATATTCCAAAATGTTCGATAATTTGGTTAGTAATAGATTTAATAGAGATAATATGACGCGATACTTATTTCAACTTAAATGATTTTAAACCTTTTCTTTTTACTTTCACAAAAATGAAAACTTCATAAGATAATAATGAAGTAATTTGAACTTAATTTCTCAGTGATGTTGACGAAAGCCTTGAAAATATTTTTGTTAATTTGCTTTATATTATGAATTACTATTCAGTTTATTAGTTTAAAGCAAGGTATAGTATAACTAGCAAATAGGAGTAAGGTTATATTATTATGTTTCCCATATTAAGTTTTTCTTTTAAATGGCGTTTGGCTTTGATTGATATAAACATATGATATAGAGTAATTTATATTTCAAATCGTACTTGTTTATTGACTACTATAATAATCTCTTGATCTTTCTCGGGTACTTGCATTTTCACTCGTATTGGGCGTATATGCTTAAAAATCCAGAATACATTAAGAATGGTCCCATTGATTCTGGCTGAACTTCCATAGAAAAAGTTATCCATGAGTGTACTCATATTTGTTTTTTTTATTCCATTTATTATATTTAGACAATTACAAGAAAATTTTTTTCAAAACTTCTCCAACCAAACCTAATGATGAAACTTTCTGACAATGCAGCAAACAAAAGACTTTTAATGTTAATATACAAATCCAAGATCAATTTTTAGAGAAACTTCTCCCTGTAAATGAGAGTAATTTCATTATCATTCTATTCTCATTTTACTAAAAGTTTCGAATATACAATATGACACGTACCTTTGTTTTCGATCTAATATAAATATGCAGTAAAGAAGGGTGTTGGAGGTGAATATATTCCATAAAAATTCTTGTCATACCTCTGTTTTCTTCGTATTTAATACATTTTTTACTGTTAAACCTTTAAATCTAAGAATAGAAATTGAAGACCAATGATTGTTGTTACTCAATCGAGAGTCCACAATATATGATTTCATTCAATTATTTTATTACACGAAAAAAATTTGGTTCATTATGAATAACAAGAAATCACTTATATGTGATTTATTTTATTCCATTCGATGATTTTTAAATTCTTTTTTTTTTGTCCTAATAAAAAGTTAATTTAAAAATGTAGTTAATCAAGATTGTTAAAATTTAAAGTTTTTAATGTTTATTCAAATGGAGAGTTTTTTTTTTATTTTTTAACGAGCACGAGGATTATTTTAAAAAAACTAATTGATGCTGAGTTGTTTAAATGAAATAAATACATCCAAAATTTAATGCTTCTTCAAAGGAAATACTTGCCCGCGTTTAGGAAGTAAATGAGATTTAATAAGAAATAATAATTTAACACATACGTGCAAAAACAGACCTTGAAATATCTGATATGGAAACAAATATTTCTTACTAATTAATATGTGTAGCATTATCAATTTTAGTACTTTAGTTCTGAATCCCTAATTTTTATTCTGTTAAATTCTATTTTGCTCAATGAAGTATTTCTTGCATAATATTATAAAGTCGTCATGTGTATTGGTTTCACGAAAAAAAATAATAGATTTAAGTGCCTGACTATGATTATTTGACTGTCCACATCACACCATGATCGCATATTGCCAACTTGTGAGGGCGTGAGGAAGAAAATTTTAATTTAAAAAATATTATATTAACTTAACTTTTCTTATTTTTTGCATAAAGCTTAATAAAGTCAATTTAACTAACCAAATAGCTAATAACGTGAAGACAACCTTTACAGTGGTGACATTGATATATTTTATCATATTTTCCTAATTTTATTACGTTGTAAATTTTGGCTTTAACTAAAGGTTATCTGGATTACTTACTCTGATTCGATTTGCGTGAATGATTTTGTATTTTTTAAAATACTTGAAACATTTAATAAAGTCGTTTTAATGTTCAGCACCTCGATCATTTAAATTTTAGATGAGTACAAACAACCAAGCGGAAAAAGTTCTTTTCGTGTTCACACTCTCCTCGCCTTACTTATCTGATATGATGAAAAAACTGAAACAATATTTTTAAAAATTAATAATTTTTATTATCTTAATTATTCAACTAGGTTTTTTAACATCAGAAACCCGCTTTAATATTTTACGAATTTTTTTTTAAAAAAAAAATTAAATAAAATAAATTTTAGAATATTCTAACGATATTTTATTATTTTTATTTTTGTTTTCTGTAGGTAATATGTTTACCTGTATTGTTTACTGTCAGCCCTTGTTAAAAAAGAAACAAAGTTTTAAAATTTTGTTATATTATTGTCATTTCACTTATTAATGCAATGCATTGAAGCAAAAAATTAACGTGATATTTTTTCATTATAAGTGTCACACCCTCCGCCCTCCTCCTCCATGTTTCATTTTTACTGAGGAAACAAATTTTTTCGGTAGTGAGAATTTTATTGGTACCATATGCGCCACCATTAATTTCAGCCGAAATCAATAATACCGCCCATTTCGTTGAAAGTTAATCAATTGGATAGACTAATCGCATCAGTATTTACTTTTGGCTCATCCGCATATCGACAACTTCAATTTCCTAAAAAAAGATCAATTTTATATTCATAAGTTTTTTATTTCACAATCTAGGATCCCAGTAACTGCATAAATTGTGTAGAATTTTATTGATAGCTAAAAATTAAATCACTTTATTGGAAAAAATTTTTTATTTTTTTCTACGCTAAAAAATAATTAAAATGGTATGGTATGGATGGTTGGTATACACGCGAAAAGATTAGATGATGAGCAAAAATTTGTTTTAATAATATTATTATTTCAAGATTTTTTTTTAAATTTTGGACGCGAGCATGTTATTGTGAATTTATTTAATAAATATTTATTTGTTTAAAATGGATAATCATTATAAGATTAGATGCTAATGAATAAAAAATATACATATATGATATCAAAATAAAGCTTTGACTCGAGTCAGGTTTTTATGTCTCGAGTTAAGAATCCGAGATAACTAAAACAACCTGGCTTGAGTATAACTCGATTGCATACTGATTTGCTGAGGCATTTAGGCATTTCGGCATTTCTTATAATCTTTTAATTTCTCCGGATCAGATTACGGTCCCCGTTCCCTAGTCGTCAAATTATGATACATTATAAATTACCTCCTAAATTTTCTCTTTCCAAAAAATTTACAAATTTGCAAATACCCATTTACAATTTTTCTTACCACTCATCCTCCACTGCTAGTGTATGGTGGTGTTCTTGATTTGATGTTATACACGCATCAAAATTGTTTTTTGTAGAATTCGCAATCAAATAATAAAATTTTGGTAATAATGCTTGACCAACATTTTTGTTCACAGTCTGTATGCGAAAAGGCCCTTATTAAAGAAATACGTCAAATTGTTAGCAGTTGGTATTATAGAGAAAAAATTTATATAAGCTAAAAAAAGGGAGGAATTAATGGTTTAAAAAAACTAGGTCTCAATTATACTGGAAGACTTCGAAAACCAATCTAATCTATACAAGTAGATCAGTGAGTTCTTTTATCGCCGTCTTTATCACCAATGAATTCACTTGAAATTAGCATATATACTATGATTAATTTTAAAATATTAATGTTATTTATTTATAATTTCTTGCCTATTTATTGGAGTATGTTACCAAAAGAATATGAGCTAGATATTGAAGCCGTGACTTATGGCTGTGGCAAACTCGTGATCCAGATGATAAATCTGACATGTTGAATGAGTTTATACGATATAATTCGACAGACTGAATTAAATTGATATTTCTTTTACAGTCAAAGTTAAATTAAGACTTTTAAAATCATTCTTAATGCTCATTTTAATAGCCATAAATTTAATTAGATTAGTCGTTTGAATATTTTACTTCGATTCCAATCACGTGCTAATGTTGTAATGGAGAATCCACTATCTTAAAATATAAAAATTTAAACGGTTTCTATGTAAAAGTAAAATAAAAGAAATAGAGGTAGGATATACATACGTTAAAATGGCAAAGAATGTTGAAAATCACTTTATTTGTATTTTACAACTTTCTTTTTTTTAGTATCTTAATAATGTGTGTTTCTAAATAAAAAAAAAAATAATTATTATTTTTGGAATCACTTTCTATTTATATTGTAATTACTCTATCTACAAAAAAGATTAATCTATTTTTACTTTTAATCCTTTTAATCTATCTTCACCAAAGAAATTACGTAATTATGCATTTAGTATGCATAAATTCCTTTATTTTAATTTTATTTTCAATTGGTTTTCTTTTTTCATAAATACTTACTTCTGAATAGAACTTGATAAGATATTAAAATTTCTATTATTAGAAAAAATAATAAATAATTTAATAAAGCATATTCGTCAAAATCTTTACCAGTCGAAAGGAAATTTTGTGATTACTAACGAAAGATTTATTTATTGCCGTATATTGATTGATATGCATGCAATCCATTTAAGAAAATACGCCATATAATTGTTGACCATGTAATTAATAATCAAGATTTCAGAGATAGAAACTTGAAGAAAAAATAAGAAAGATATTACGTAAATCATGTCATTAAAAATTATTAATGTTAAATTTGAGACTATTTCTTATATATAGGCAAATTTTTTCTTTATTTTTTAAAAAAAAAATAATATAAATATTTTATGAAATGAGTAAGTTTGTAATGAGTCACAGAGTCAAGAGTCACAGAGTCACTTAGCCTCTATTAAAATTTCTACTAACTAACCGCTAACTTTCTTTTTTAAATTAAAGGTGAAAGAAAATGTACGTATGTAGATGTATTTGACGATGCTTATGACAATAGCAGAGAAGAGAGGTGTAGAGCCCTTACGAAATGCAGGATTTGCAAAACTTGTGATGATCATTGTGATTGTAAGTATAATAATTCTATTATTTCACGATAAAATCTGTGACTCCGTGACGTGACTCTGTGACTTTGAGAATGAAAATACAATGCTGCGTGACTCCTCATAATGTAGTATAATACTACTGTTCAAAATCCTGTAATATCCATACCGAGGCAATTGTTCACTTGAACAGGAAAAAAGTTTATTTTATTTTTTAAAAAATTATAAATTATGTAAGCAAATAAATTTTTTTATCTTTGCATATCTTTTATCTGTGTAATCAAATAAAGCACATGAATAATTTAAACACTTGGAGAAAATCCTCTCAGTACTTGCTTTATCCTCAAAATCCATAGTTGGCGGAATTCATGGAATACAGTTCGTAATGAATGTATTTTGATAATGAAAAAAAGAAACTATAATTGGTGGTTATAATCCCATTGGTTGAATTTCTATAACTTATCGTTAAAATATAAATAAGCTAAATTGAAGTTTCCAATAATAAATGATGTATACGTAGTGATAATTAAATTGTGACAGATTAATTACATGTTGTAGAGGAATTTATATGTTTAATAAAAATTCAATAACATTCGTGAATTCTAGTGGATAATTGATTTTGTCAAAGTAATATCGTCGCATCAGAATTAAAGTTAAAATGAGTTCATTCCAAATATTCTGTTTTTTACGGCAGTTTCTACAATGGGCTATCGAATTTATGTGAGAACACTTTTGGTAGTATCGTAAAGTGTGACTTTTATGAGGTCATATTCATCTTTCCCATGTTAAGTTATCAGTCATTTAAAGAGGTCGAAACTAGTTTTACCGTTTTGCCAATTTTTTTAAAATGCAATTTCGCGAAAGTTTCGATGGTAAAAACTAAAATGGATTTTCAATAATCCTTCCTGGGTACATTTGATTAAATACCTCCAATTGAAATCCTAATTTTATACCGTGTTTAATTTGTACCTTAATGACCTTAATTTTAAATTTTTTAATTTGAGGAAAATTTCATGATCATTATTTTAATATTTATTCATTACAGGTCATAAACGCTAAAATTATTATAACAGAAGCTCTTATGATATATTTATTTCAGTCCGTTAGTTTAAATTGAAAAACCATAGAAATTATCGTAATCCTAAAACTGCCGAAATCGAAATTATTTAAACTATGTTAGAACTTTAATCGCAGGCCTTAAACTCAAATAACTTGGATAAGTACACGAGCAAACTTCAAAAGCCGGTATATTCAGAATTCTTTTTTTTTTTTGTGAAAAATTGCGTATATTAAGTCGTGGAGTGCTAGTGTCGAGTTACTTCTTCCAGTTACACAAATTTTTAATCACCCATCTATAAAGATATTACAAGAAATACTTTAAGTGAACTTTTTTCAGGAACACTACTAATCTACTATAACCATATAACAAATTTCAAGTAACATATTCACATAAAGCATAATTTAGTAAATTTTAAAAATTTGGGATATTATAACGGAAAATGAAATAATAAATAAGAATTAAATTATTATAAAATCGTATGTTTACTGTCGAAAGTTCAACAATCTCGGTAACTTACTATAATGTGTTCCGCTACATTCCAAATCAAAGAAGCACTCGAGAAATCCTTCTTGAATAATGAGAATTGGCATGATATTTACAGCACATTAAGCGTGCTGAAATTCATCATAAAATAAATTTTCAAATTAAAGAAATTCTAGACATAAAAATATCAGATATATTAAACTAGTAATGATATTACAAATTTACAGTTTTAATTAAAATTTCTGAGGCAAATTTGATTAAAAAAATTATGCTATTATTAATATAAAAAGCTAATTGTAAATGAATATTTTCAGCTAATAACAATAATCTAAATAGATTAAATCATCTATAAATAATATAAATTAATCATAAAATAATCAAAATAATCATCAATTAGCCAGTCTAAAAATATCATTAAATCAGCTTAAAATAAGTATAATATTAACTATATTATTAGAACTAATAATAACAAATTTATATTTATTTAATTTTATAATTTATTTTATTATATTACAATTTAAATTTCTTAAAAAGAAATACTTTATAATTTTATTCAAGAAAGATAAATATAAAAAATAAAAATAAAATAAAAAGAAGTTAAAAAATCTAAAGTTATCTTTGATTTAATTGTTTTAATTTCTGAAAGATTAAAAATTCATATAAAAATTACTCTTATTAATTTCTAAAAATATAAAGAAAAAATAAAGAAAGGCTATATTTTATAGAAAAGCAAATATCTTGCATATTTATTTCCTTTTTTAAGTTATATTACAATTACTTGATCAAGTATTAAGTATAAAATTTAAATAATAAAATTAATTTAAATATTACCTTTGTAATCTATTCAAACATTTGTTATGATAAGCTAGATATTTATTTATAAAATTATTTAAATAATAAAGTATTCTGTATTTATATATAAAAATGATCTGCATATAAAAAATATACTTTATGTTTAAAGTATTTGCAAAAAAAAAATATTTTATATCACTAGTAGTGATTATTATCAGTATCATGTATTTATATATTTATTTTACATATGTTATTTGTTATTCCTATATCATTTATAGAGTTTCAAATAAGTTAAGCCAAATTTTGAATCAAATTAGTTGAGTTAAGTTGAGTCAAAAAAAATTTGACTCATTTAATTTAAGTCAAGTTTCAAGTTAAGCTTGATTTGACTTGAGATAATTTAAGCTAAACTCAAGCTAAAAAAGCTAAAATTTAAGTTCAAAATTAAGTAAAGCTTAAGTCTAAAGTTGAGCTGATTTCAAATAAAAATTTAATAATTTATTTAAAAAAAAATATAAAAAAAATTATTTCAATATAATAATATATACTGTTCTAAAGTAATATTAGAAATTTTGTTCTAATAGAATAATAAATCTTAGTTCTAAAGAAATAATAAAAAAATCATTCCAATAGAATTATAGTATATAATTTTTAAGGAATAATAGAAAAATTATTCCAATAAAATGATAATATATTATTCTAAAAGAATATTAAATAATATTATTCTGATAGAACAATAAAATATCATTCTAAAAGAATAATAGAAGAATCATTTTGATAGAATGATAAATAATCTCATTTTAAAAAATGATAAAAGAATTGTTCTGATAGAATAATAAAAGAATTATTTTAATAAAATAATAAAAAATCATTCTAATAAAAAAATCTTTTTAATAGAACAATAGAAGAATCATTCAAATATAATGATAATGCATTGTTTTAAAGAAATGATTAAATTATCATTCTGAAAAAATGATTTATTATCATTCTTAAAAAACAATTCTATTATCATACTTAAGGAACAATTATATTATCATTTCAAAAAGAATGATTTTTGTTATCATTCTTTTAGAATGATTAAATTATTATTTCTTAGAAAATTTTTCTAAATTGTTTTATTAAAATAATATATCTATTAGAATAATTTTTTCTATTATTCTATCAGAATGATTCTTTTTATTATTCTTTTAGAATGATATATTATTGAATTTTTAGAATAATATATTATAATTCTATCAAAATGATTCTTTTATTATTCCTTTAGAATGATGTTTTATCACAATTTTATTTACTAAAATTAATTTGAGTTAAGTTGAGTTTGATAAAAACTTATTTAAACTGACTTATTCAGAACTCTAATCATATCTTTCAGTTTTTATTTTACTATATATTCTAAGAACTTAAATTTTTTATCACTAAAAATGTTAGTTTCATACTTTCTTAAATATCACAGTTGTGTAGATAATAAAAAAACTTCAATTACTATTAGTTGTTTAATATCAGATATAATTACTATTAATAATAAATAGTAAAATCCTTTGTAAAAAAACATGTTTTGATTTTTTATAATCTGCAAACTTATATATTAAATTTTTTTATCATTAATATTAACAGAAAATAATTTTATTATTTAAGAATTGTGTGCTAAGTTTTAAATAAAAATAATACATCTTAAACCTATTAAATAAGCTGTTAAATTTCTTAAAAATGAAAAATACTACTTTAGCAGATTGTTTTTTATAATTGATAAAATTATCATTTATTATTAAACAAATTTCTAATTTGAATATTATATTTTGTATCTTTTGTGAAAACTGTATTAATTTCTTTAACAAAAAGTGAAAATAATTTAATTATAAATTATATATATTAGCTTATTTATTATCATAGTATATATTTTTTTAAATATTTCTAATTTAATAATATCTTTATTTTAATTAACTAATTATTAATTGAATTATATTTTAACCAATAATATAATAAAAAAAAAGATTTTATAAAACTATTTTTCATAATATAATTTTTTATGCAATTGAATTTATTTGGTTAAAGATAAGTAGTCATAATTATTCTAGTTAAATTCTAATTGCATAATTAGCTGCATATCAAGATAATAAACCTTTGTATAATTATGAATTTTTTTTAAATTATTATTTAGTTGAAAGTTAATAGATTTTAATAAAATAAAATAAAAATAACTTACTTTTAAAGTTTTATTAATAATTCTACATAATGCAAGTTATGATAGAAATTTTTCTTTGATATGTTGATATATGAATAAATAAAAACTTGATAATTATAATAATAAAAAAAAATAATATTTATTAAAAACTAATTATTATATACTAAATATATTAAACAATTTTAAAATAATAGTAGAGCATTTAGAAAATCTGATTAAATTAAATACATATTATATAATAATGTTAAAATTGAATTAAAATTTGCAGCATAAAATATGAAAATAATGAGAGTTATAATAATTTACAAAATGAATTTTTTAATAAATATCAACAATTGAATTAGAAGATATTAAAGATCAAGAAGTTGAATTTAAAATTGAAAATATAGAAAATCTTGTTGAAATGATGAATGGAATTTGAAATATAGAATATTACAGAAATATATCTCAATGATTATTAATGATAAGAACTATAATTAATATGTTACAACTTTAAATATTACAACTCACATTGCAATTAGTTTTAATCTATATACTGTATATTGCAACTAATTTTAGGTTATATTGCAATAATTTATAAAATTGAAATCAATTGCTATACAATCTTTAATGATTATACATAAAAGAAAACTTTTATTCTTATAAGAGAAAATATATAAGGTAAATGCTTAAAAGTCATTAAATTGAAAATTTTTTCAAAAATTTATTTCTAAGTAAATTAAATATAATTTTATTATTTGATTCAAAACTTTAATTATTATTTTAAAAATTTTTTTTACAATTTGGTTTCTTTTTTTAGTACTTATCCTATATTATAGATCCTAATAATAATAATATAAGCATTTTACAATAGAAAGATACAATTTTCTAAAAATAATTAAAATTTTATTTTATAAGCTAAATATGATTTTTTAGCAAAATAAGTTGAAATTTAATATTAATATAAAAAATTTTTTTATAATATCATATCTTTCTATTATAAAACTTTCATATAATAAGATGTGAAACTTTTGAACATTCACATATTCATACTCATACTCATAATGCAGAAAAGCTATTTTAACAGAAAAAAGAGACTAAAATTTGGAAATAATTAAATATTCTTAGCATATTAATTATTATTTTCTAAAACAATAAAATTTTATTCAAATTTATAGTATTATTAGTGATTATAATTATTTAATAAATCCTCTTGTTTTAGAAATAATACTTAAATTTTAAAGGCTTATTAATGAAATATTTGAAAAAATTAATATATAAAATAAATATATCAAACTAATATAATCTACTTATTGCATAATTTTCTAATAATACTATATAAAAATATAAAAAAAAACAAATAATATATAATAAAATGATGCACATCAATTGCTTAGTAGTTTGTATTTAAAAAAGAAGAAACTATATTGTGAATATTAAAGTTGCATTTTAATTCTGAAGAAGAAGACTTAATTTATTATTTTAAATATTATTAGATCAATTAAGACTTATACAATATATCAAGATATTGTAATTATAGATTCAACATCAAAAACTAATTAATTTGATACGATACTATTATTAATTACAATAGTTGATAATAATTTTAAAATTTAATAGTAGTAGCAGCTATTTTAGAAGGTGAAATTAAATTAACATTTGCTTAGTTTTATAAACATTGAAAATTTATGCAATATTATATCAAAATTATTATATGCTGTAGAGTCAACAATTTCATTAATTAAGGCGTAGCAATATAAAAGAAAATAATCAACAATATACAACAAAAATTACAAGAAAAAGTCATGTGATAAAAAAAAAGGAATAATCATTTTATTAAAAGAAAGAATAATATTCAAATAAATTACAGACTGAAAAGAAAGATTACACAAGATGGGTAAATTACAGAAAAAAATAATTCAGAAAATTAATTATTGAAGAAAAAGGATAATTAAATAACCGAACGGAAGGTCAAGGAAAAAAGATAATTAATCAACCGAATGGAGGGTCTTATAAAAAGACTTGGAAATATTTGAAAAATAACAAATTGAAGAAGTTACACGAAGATTTAAGAAGGTTACACAAAATGCACAATTGTTGAGAATAACAAACTGGATCATATAAAAGCTTGTGTAATATAAAGGTTATATATGACATCATAAACGAAAAGAAAATCAGAAGAAGAATAGAAGTTAATAGTAATACAAAGTACAGAAGAAAGACAGAAGTCTGAAAAAATAAGAAGGAAAAATTGTTATTAATAAAACATTAAATAAATACAAGGAAAACAAATGAGAATTAATATAATGGAAGTAAAAGTAATATAACAGAATAGAAGTATGAAGTAATATAATAGAATGAAAGTAATAGTAAACAGTAAATAATAAATAGTAAACAATAATAATATGGAATTTGGTAATGAACAACAGAAAATTAGGAATAATAGTAAAAATAGAAATCATGTAATAGAAAATCATGTAGTGAAAAATCATGTAACGAATATTATGAATCGAATTTTATTATATAAACACATTGAATATCTTCAAGAAACAAGGTGTTCAATTTTTCCAAGAAAAAAAAAAAATAATAATTTTAATAAATAAACTTTTAACACAAATAAAAATGAATACTTTTGTTTGAAATAATTAATTGTTGAACAATTAAATTATGGAAATAAATAAAGTTATTTTGCTTGTATATACTTTAATTTTAGAAAAATGCTAACGAAGAATACAGAAATAAAACTTAAAAAAATAATAAAAATATGACAGAAAGTCAAAGAATATTTAAACAAACATAAAGATATGAAGGAAAAATAAAAGAAGTATTAAATGAATTATTAAGAAAAAATAAAAAGAAATAATATTCAGAAGAAACATTTGGAAGAAATATTCAGAAGTAACTTTCGGAAGAAATATTCAGAAGACATATTTGTAAATAATATTCAGAAGAAACATTCAGAAACAATATTCGAAATTAATATTCAGAAGAGATAAAGATATATAATAGTTAGAATTAGTAATAGAAAGAATACAAAGAAAGAATAAACAACTTAAAAAATAATTATAGAATAGAATAGTTAATAACTAATACTTGAATAGTATTCTGGATACTCATAGTGAAAGTATTGTATACATTTACAGATGATCTATTGACGCTAATGCTACTAAAACTATGTGAGTTTTGAAAAGCTTAAATTAATGCTAAAATAAAGTATAATAATTAAAGAAAGATAAAGAATAAATAGACTGAAGATTAGATGACAATAACATTAAATAGAAAATTATTGAAGGAAAATAACGCTCAAATGAAAAAAAGGATTTTCAGCAATTAAAAATTAATTTGTAAAACAAATCCTCTTGATGACGAGTAGCAGAAATGATCAAGAAAGTATAAGCTATGTTGAAGCTTATCAAACTCAAAAATGCTATATATTTGTAAAACAAGGGTTATGACAACTATAACGCAAATGTTAATTCAGTTCTAATAGCTAAGTAATATGAAAAGTTGTAGAATATAGTTAACTAAATAAGTTTTATATGATCATATGAAATAATTTATAACTGAATATAAGTTATAAAACTACTATTATATATGGAAGCTTTGCAATAGAAAAGAAGGAAACTCACACAATGTCATTATGGGGGTTTTGGGACGAAGTCCCACAACTCTCAATGACATTGTGTGCTGTGTTCACTCATAATTTGCATATCAATTTTTCTACTATACTAGAATAACTTCTACATCCTCCAGCTGGCTAAATTCTATATATAATAAAATAAATCGTACAAAAATTAGTATATCAAGAACTGTTTCTATGCTGATCAGCTTATTAAATAGTTCTACTATACTAGAACAACTTCTACATTCTCTAGCTAGCTAAAATATATATCGATTATATTCAAGTCATACAAAAATAATATATCAGGAATTGGTTCTACACTAGTCTGCTTATTAAATAGCATAATTTTATTTTAAATCATACAAAATAAATCATACGAAAAATTTTTGTCTCAATTCCTCTAATAATAAGTCATACAAAAATTTGTAAATAATTCATACGAAAAATTATTTATCCCAACTTCTCCATAATAAATCATACAAAAAATTTATATCAGGATTTATGCTTAATGACTCTCAGAGGTTAGGAAATATAATAAAGATTTTTTTGTCCCAATTCCCCTTATAATAAATCATACAAAAAATATTTTTTATCCTAATTCTCGTATCATAAGTCATACAAAAATGTATATCAGAGATTATGTTTAATAGCTTTCAGAGATTAAGAAATATAATAAAAAATATATCATATGAAATTTAGTACTAATTCCTCCTTAATAAATCTAACTTATCTCAATGCATTGACCTATTATATTCCTGATCCTAGTTTAAAGCTTTATTCTGCAATCTATCATAGTACTGGATAATATAATAGCCTCTGATATGTAATAGGCATCGATCACAAGTGGAAGCAGTTAGCTTACCACAATCAGAATAAGGTATACATTTTTTAGCCTTCCAATAAAACCAACACCCTTCAGGCCAAATGCAAGGACCATTGCAAGTCTTTCCAGTATTGCAGAAATATAGGCAAGAATATTCACCAATCATTTTGATAAGAATAGGAATTAATTAATTAAAAAAAAAAGTTTTATAAACAACTAATAGTGCGACGGTAAGAGTTAACGATATACTAAATGTCTGATGCTTATCCAGAATATATAGAAGAATTTAGTATAGAGATAGCTGATTTCAATCCAATTGGTCCTACAGCCTATATATCTTTACCAGAAACTTTGCTGAAACTTAATAATGGAATTATTAATATTCAAAATAATGATGACTGGTGTTTTGGATGGTGTGTTCTAGGAGCTTTACATTCAGTTAAGATTTATCCTAAAGAAATCCACATCAGCTATATGGAGGCTTTGTGGAGGAACTTAATATGGATGACATCCCAATTCCAATACCAGTCTTAACACCAGTTTATAAAAAGTTCAAAGAAAATAATCCTAAAATCAGTCTATGTGTCTAGGAATGGCATAACCAGAATGAGTGTCTTGAATTTTGCTATGTTTCAGAAAGATGAGGGAATGAATATAAGCAAGTAAATCTTCTAGTAATTACAGAAGATGATAGAAGCCATTACTGCATTATCAAGTTAGTATATAATCATAGCAAGTATAAAGGACGAAAATATATCTGCTGATATTGTCTTCATGTATATTCTTCAGAGATAAGATATAATAAACACTTGCCAAAATGCAAGGGTCTAAATAATGCCCCTCAGTGACTACAAATGCTAGTAAAGAATAGGAGTATCAAAGCTTTCTATAATCATAAATGCATGTAACCAAATCCATATCGCATTTTCTGGGATCTGGAAATGTTAACCGAAAAGCTAACTCAGAAGAAAAACAAAGTACACCAATACAGAAAGATTACAGATGCATAAACTATGTGGTTATAGTTATGTGGTTATTTGTATAGACAGTTTACTTAACTATGAGATTACGAGTCATGATTTATATAGAAGGTCAGATGCGCTAGAAAGATTTGTTACAAAAATAGAAGAGGAGCTTTTAACCATCCAAGAAGATTTATCTGCACCAGCTGAAATAATCATGGCATCTGGAGATCTTAAAGAGTATAATGAAGCAACTGAATGCTGGATTTGCAAGAAAGCTTTTCTAAAACCATCTTCAGAAGTATCGTAAAACTTTGAAGAAGCTAAAAACAGATTACTAGAAATTAATGAATGGGAAGCAAGCATAGGAGAAGACCATTCAGAAAAGAAAAAGATACAAAAAGAATACTAAGAAGCTTTAAGTGAACTTAATCATAAGGTAAAAGATCATGATCATATAAGTGGAAAGTACCGAGGTCCAGCTCATGATACTTGTAACAAAAAGTTACGAATAGGATCATTTGAGACAAAAGTACCTTTGATCTGCCATAAATTCCAGGGATATGACTCTCATTTACTCATGAAAGTTGTGAGCAAGTTTACGGCTGATAAGCTAAAATGCATTCCAGAAAATATAGGAAAGTATAAAGCAATGGATGTTGGACAGCTTCGGTTCTTAGATAGCTTTCAGCATATGGAAATG